TCACAAATTGATGTGTGTATGGATTGTGATAAGAGTTGTATGAGCCCCTAATAAAATGATTTAAAAAATTAATATCTCTTCCCTTGAATTTTGGAACCTAGACCAGCAGGGTAGAATTGAATTTAGTCACTGTGTTAGTCCAGTTAGACTAGAGAAACAAATTCATAAACACCCATATGTGTATAAGAAAATTTTACATACAAGAGCAATTGAATATTGAGAAAACATCCCAGCCCAGTCCAGATCAAGTCCGTAAGTCCGATATTAGCCCATATATCTGATACCAATCTATAAACTCCTCTTCAGACTCATGAAACACATGCAATGATGCCAAATGCAGGACAATCACAGGCCAGTGGGTAGAAAGTCTTTGCATCCAGTGAGTAGAAAGTCTTTGAATCAAGTGGCGTTGTAAACATCTCAGTGCTGGCTGAGGTCTCTATGTGGCTTCTCTGGCTTCAGAGGTCTGGTTGCATCAGGATGGGTCCAAGTGGCTTTTCCAGCTTAGGGCACTAGCATAGTTCCATGTGTCTTGTCAGCTGCAATGTCTCCCAGGGAGTGAGTAGAGAGACTGTCTTCCGCCTCCAAGGAGGAAAATAGGGTTTTCCCAGCATTCTCAGGAGAAGGCCATGCCCACACAGAGACCTCTTTGGCTATCACCCGATTGACAGAGTAGACTCCACCCCTTCACTCTTAATCCTAAATCCCAAATTGACATCAGATCATGTAACCACCAATCAGCTGACAAAAGTCCCTGAGGATGTGTCTGATCTCATTTCTCTTGAGAATATTATCTAATATTATCAACCTTCTGCAGAAGCTCCCCAATGGTCTTGGAAACCATAGGAAGTTAAGAAAGTTGGATCTAGCCCAATGGATCCTTGCCCAATGAAGTTGCTTATCTTAAAGATTTATAGAAATTAGTCTTCACACACAACCAGTTGATCACTTTCTAGGGGCATTGGTTACTTTACCAAACGTACGCATCTATGCCTGGAGAAAATGTACTTACTCATCTTCCTGAGAAAATTGGCATACGTACTAGAGAACCTAGAAGAATGCATTTGAATGGCAACCCTAACCTGCATAGCCTTCCCTTTGAGCTGGCTCTCTGCAGCACACTTTCCATCATGAACATTGAGAACTGTCCACTCAGTCACCTTCCACCTCAGATTGTTGCTGGTGGCTCTTCTTTCATCGTCCAATTCCTAAAGATGCAGGGTCCATATCATACCAAGAACTGGTCCCACTCACTGTTCAAAAGTAGACTGCCACCCCAGTCCTGCCTTTCAGTTCTGGCTAGACATACAGATATGAGCTGAAGACACAAGGAATCCAGGTGAGATAAACCCTCAGGAACAGAAATGGGAGTAGCCATACCACGAGGGTAAGGAGAAGGTTGGGGAGGAAGGGAGAACTGATCGCAATGATTGACCCCCCTCCTCATGGGGGATGAACAACAAAATGTGGGTGAAGGGAGCCAGCGGCCGGTGTAAGACATGAAAACAATAATTTATAATTTATCAAGGGGTCACGAGGGTGGGAGTGGGGAGGAAGGGAAAAAAGAACTGATACCAAAAGCTAAAATACAAAGTAAATGTTTAGAAAATGATGATGACAACATATGCACAAAAATGCTTAAAACAATT